ATTGAATCCAGATTGGAAGGCTGAATGTAGAACCGAGTTTCTGCTAACCCAGTTTGCACCACCCAAGTCTTTTTGATAGAGTTCTCCCATCGCGAGACTAGAGGTTGGGCTGTTGGTAGGAAGCTGAGCAGGGTCTTCGTACGCCATGGTTTCATCTTGGTTGCCATGATGAGTCACAGCAGCATAGATCCTGTGGCAGAGGAGACCTTAAAACCCGCTCTTCTTCTCTTGCTTAGTTGCTCTCATACGGGTGTCTGGCACCCGGAAGCACCCGAGGGAGGTTTGAAATAAAGAGGAGGGGGTGCAAGGGAAAAAGAGAAGAGCTGGTTTCTAAGGGCGGGTTCTAGCCAGACATAGCAACAATGCTTAGAGTGGCATCCCATTCTGACAACTGATGGATCTTTTCTTCCGGTCAGGTGGCAGATCTGACCTTGTCCTTGCAGGAGAAGGAGCAACAGATGGCCGCCAAAACAGACAGTCTCCTGAAACGGGAGGAAGAGGCAAAATCCTTAAGGCAAGGTGAGACCATGGAGGGAATTTTATTGGTCCCCTCAAAATCTGCCTTTTTACCTGTCTGCCTTCTCACTTCCACGGAGTTCCACTTTAGCCTGCAGTGTTGAGCATTATAGTTCAGGTTTTAAATTTGTGAACATCTTAAATTGGAGGTGGTCCTTACTGTTGACTAGTGATGGTGGTGTATCTGTGTGTGTGTGTTGTGGAATCAAATGTATGTTGTGGAATCAAATGAATAAAGCTCATCGCAGTAAGTATTTATTCAGCGCACACCGGAGGAATTTCCTCCAGAAAAAAATAGGAGGGATTCCGACAGACAAAAGGATGCGCTCATATTTATACATTTCAGGAAAGGAGGAGAAAATGGTGGTCATAAATATGCAGGGGCAATAGATAATGTAAGCATAAATATTCATAAGCAGCAAATCTTAAGGAACATATCCACCATCTACAGTTACTGTCCTTAAGGAAGAGTTAAACTAGATGTCCTGAAGATGAAGTTGTGCTCTTTGGATTTCTTTGTCCCACCTTGATGGGAGCCCAGAAGTGGCTTCTCCCCAACAAGGTCTGTGCCTTTTTCCCCAGGTCATGACCTGCTTTTGCTGCAGATGCACCAGCTGCAGTCCAGCCTGGATTCATGCAACGGCCAGGCTGCGGAGAGGGAAGCAGCACTGCAAGAACAACTGCGAATCCTCCAGATGCAGCTGCAGGAACAGCAAGAACGCCTCTTAGCCAACGAGAAGCAAGTGAGCAAATTTAATCCACAGGAATGTCGGTCCTGCCTGGGTCTTTAAACAGGCTGAAGGGATCTGGAGGGCAGGCAGGGGTGAGGACTTTGGCTCAGACCCTGTCGGAATGCAGCAGAAGGAAAGTTTGAGAGCAACTGGCTTTTGTGTGTCCCGCTTGGAGAATTCCCAGAAGCCTTTAAATGAGTGCTTCTCAACCTTGGCAGGCCTTAAAGAGGTCTGCGGGCTTCAACTCCCAGAGTCCTCCAGCCGGCATGCTGTATCGCAAATCCCACCCGCACTCCAACTGACCCTCTCTGCATGTTGTGCCATGCGCTTGTGAAGTGGTTGCTTTTTAAAAAAATAATAATAATTCAGAATGACTGAACTCTGTTCTTTCTTGAGGGCCAGGCTGCTGTGTTGGAACTCACATCCATAGCTTTGGAAGACCACTTGCACCTTTCTGAAGATGGAGAGGCGGAGCCCAACGGAGAACTGGTTTCCTCAGATGCCGTCCGACTCCAGAAGGAGAACCGAGACCTGGAACAGCAGATAGTGGAAAAAAACAAGGTGAAGACTGGGTGTGGTCTGATGATCTAGTCCAGGGGTCCTCAAACTTGGCCATTTGAAGACTTGTGGACTTCAACTCCCAGTAGTAGCTTTTTTGGGGGGGAGGGGGGAGTGTATGTTTGCACGTCTGGGGGACTCAAGATCCTGTTTCCCTTTCCCCCCCCTCTCTCCCTAGATGATAAAGCAGCTTCAGCAGAGAATGGCAGAGCTTAAAAAGACCTTGCAGAAAGAACTTGTAAGCATTGACTCTTCTGGGTAAAATTTATCCTCACCCAACTAGTGTCCTGTCTTTTACGCTTCAGCGTCCTCTCCCTTTGGGCTTCTGTTCAGCAGCCCTGCACCCATCATCCCCAGCGGCCTGTTTCACTTAGCCACAGAAATGTTTAGCTCGATTGTACTCGTAAGCTGAGGACGACTTCTACACATGTCATTCATTCTCTTGCACGGTTTGTGTAGATTTGATACCCTGGAGGTTTTTTTCTCGGTGCAGGGTTTGATGGCCTAGGACCCTAATATTGAAAAAAACCTCCGAAGACCCCTGTAAGTGAGGCGGTTCTTTGTTCGATGCTCGGCTCCCTCTTGTTTTTCCACCCACTCTCTATTTTTCCTCCACGTTTCAGAAAATTCGACCTGATGGCGAAGTCCCCGAAGTGCCCACGGCTGGTTTGACTGTAACAAACAACTGCGATCTGAGCGATTCCCGAGAGGTCAACTTCGAGTATTTGAAGCATGTGGTGCTAAAATTCATGTCCAGCCGGGAATCGGAGGTAAACGGGGAAATATATAAATATATATTGATGATCTTAGTTTACTTTCATGGCTTTTGGACAGGAGGATTCTGTTCAGGGTATGGATTTCCTACCTTTTGCAGGGTCTTATCCTTTAGTAATCCTTTCTCACTTCCTTTAAAGCAGGGGTCTTCAAACCCGTCCCTTTTATGACGCCTGGACTTCAACTCCCAGAATTCCTCAGCCAGGCACGCTGCTGGCTAAGGAATTCTGGGAGTTGAAGTCCAGGCGTCATAAAAGGGACGGATTTGAAGACCCCTGCTTTAAAGTGAGACAAAGACCAATACAGGTAAGAAAATTGGTTATTTACCTTGACAAAGTTACCTCTGTTATAAATGTAGGGCATGTCTCAAATTTGGGACATTTATAGTAAGGTTAGAGATTGAAAGACAATTGCGCTTTTAAATTTTGGCACATTTGTTATTGATATCCATGAAAAATAACCCCCAATCTCCTGCTGGGAATTCAGAAGGGAAATTGATTTTATTTTTAACGTGAAGAGTCAGTTTTCAGGTCGGCTGCCCCTCAACTTTCTCCAGTAATCCAATTTAGGTTGTCTAAAATGTTCCGTTTTGGTAACTTGGTCTCCCTCCTGTGGCGTTTCAGGCACTCCATTTGATCAAGGCTTTGTCTGTGTTGCTCAGCTTCTCCCCGGAGGAAGAAAACATGGTCAAGGAAACCTTGGAGTACAAGGTAAAGGGTCACCGATGCTCTGACATTTCACACCCGTTGCCAAAGTGGCCATTTGCACACTTAACAACACTAGCAAGGGCACTTAAGGCTTATCTACCACTTCATGGCCCTCTTTAATCGGTTTAAGAAGGAAGAATGGTTCTCTTCCATTTCCACCTTGGTGCCATTCTTTGCTTTTGTGGGGTTTTTTTTCCAGCCCTTGAGGAACACCAGTGGTCTATGTGTCTTGTATTCCTTATTTTATGCAACTCAAGGCAGAGTCCATAATTCCTGTTTTCCCAATAAGAACCAGAGAGGTGGGTTGGACAGAGAAGGAATTGTAGGAGAAGAGCAGGCAGAGCTAGAGGGGGTGGGGTTAAGCGAGCCATCAGCCTAGAGTCATGACGTTCCCACAAATGGTTCAAGTCCAACCCCTCTCGAATCCAGTTGACCCTTATCTGGCGCCAATTTAGCATTGCCCATTAGTTGGCTAGATTCTTGGGGTCTAGGCTTGAGGAATAAATCTGAACTGAGGTGTGAGCCTGATCCCCCGTGCCCGACAGGAATGGCTCGAAGTCACCCCGCCAGCTTCTGTCCTAAGTAGGGTGGCATCGCCAGCTGAAGGACAGGGGGCTCCTCTAAGAGTAAAAAAAGACATTCCTGCTTAGTCATTTTGGAGGAGGAAGCTTCCGAGATCAAATGCTTAGGTTTCCCAAGGGAAGGCAGAAAGAATCTGGTGAGATCCTTGTAATAGAGGTGATCAGCAATGAAGGATTCACGTGGGCCCTGTTCACCCAGTTGCTTGCGACAGGCCTTAGGGAGAACTAGAACTCACGGCCCCATTTTCCAACCCAGCTCTTCCCCCTTTGGACAGCTCCAAAGCGACACCCCACCAATCAGCATCCCTGCCTAATTTTGGGGCTCTCCCCTCTTTCAGATGTCTTGGTTCGGCTCCAAGCCGCTTCCCAGAGGGACCGTCCGGCCGTCCATCTCCAACCCAAGGACGATGTGGTCCTGAAGCTCTTCCGGGATGTCCTGCTGCCTTCCCGCCGGTTGTTGGGTTTTTGTGGGTTGCTTTTTATTTTTTTCTTCCCCCCCCCCCCACCCTATGAAAAGATGCACCTTGACAACGGCCGTGTCGATGGCGGTGACCCCAGGGAACCGTGAACTCTGGGGAGGGGAAGAGGTTTACAAAGCTGACCCACGAAAGGAGCCTCTCTTGCTCCAGCTTTGTGGACCGAAAGGGTTACCTGGGTGGGTATCTTGAGGTGCCTTTGGGGGGTTTTTTTGCGATGCACAGCAGGGATCTATGAAGTCCCTCCCTCGTTTCCGCTGGTGTGTAACCCTTGGCAGGACAAAAAACAATTTTGCCTTCTCGGATACACGCCAGGCCCACCACTTGTTAACATTACCATCACCAAGGATTGCTAACCGGCTCAGAGGTTTGGGGGAACTAGCTCTAGATAGTTTTCCACAGAGTGATCCAGCTTTTATTTTTTCTTTCTTGCTTTCTTTCTTAAAAACGGTTTTAAACAGGCCTTCGCGGCGCTCTAGCATTTTTTTTTTTTTAAACAGATGTAAGGAGGCAAGGGGAAGCGTTTTAGCCACCGAGTTTGCAAAACCGGAAACCGTAGATTGGGTGGGGCCCTAAAAATCACAAAACCCCTGTGACAGGTGGGTGTGTGGAGTGGTTAGGCAGGCTGATTGCAGTCGCTCACATCCTGAGCCGGAAGCAAGCGTGGACATTTAAACCTGTACAGCTTTTTCTTTTTTCTTTTTAAAGGGTACATTCACATCCCAGGACACTCCAGGCTTGTTCGAACTAAAGAGCAGTGTTTTGTTTTTCCTAAATCCGACTGAAGCCAGGTGTTTAGTTAAGAAAAACTGCAGGTTTTTGTGTTTTTTTTACTATTTAGAGACTGGTGTGGCAGGCCCCTCTTTGAAAAAAAACAAAACCACACAAAACCCCTGCTAATTGCAGTTCCACCCCACTTATTTCCTGCGCTTTGGTGAGCGGCAGTATTTTTTTTACCAGCTGGGTCGTCTTTCGATTCGGAATGAAATGGGGGGACCCCTCCACAAGAAGCTCGCAAGAGTCTTTTCTTTCCAGTCGTAAGCTGGCAGTGCGGGACTCGAGGGTTGTAGCAACTTAATGCACTTTTCCTTCCTTGCACAGAGAGAACATAAAAGTGCCCCTGGCCGTGGGTCTATATATAAAGAAAGCCTGGGTGGGCCACTCGTCCTGTGTACATAGTGGACTCTTTGGCGATGGATGTGGATGGCTTGAGCGAGACCTGATTTTGTTGGTGCAATACATTATTATTATTATTATTTCTTTTTTGGAATTGACCCTGGAGACGAGATTCTTGACCTTCGCGCTTGCTCTTTCCATGGGACAGCTTGAGGACTAGAAGTCCTGATGCGGGCCTCTCCTGGATGCCTAGGTTGACCGGGGGGTGTGTGTGTGTCTTCGGGAGAGGAAACCAACTTCTTCAACTTGATAGGGGGGAAAGCTAAGGAAAAGCCAACCTCTTTGAATCTATCTGCTCTTTCTCTGTTCTTGTTGCAAAAGGATTTATTTCAACTTCACAGAGAGAGAGAGAGAACGTATTGATCTACCTTACTGCACTGGTAGGGTTGTAAAATCACAACAACGGAGGGCTGCGTGACACCGTGATACAGTCTCTCATTGTCCTGTCCTCCTTCCACCACTGTTGTGCCAGCACCACCTGACTCTCTGCTGCTTCCCTAAGATCAGGGCTATCGTAATCCTACCTTGCTTTGTTTAAAAAGCTTTATGGGGGTGCCATCCAGGCTTTTTGATCTGAAAGGCCAGCCGCCCGATCAAAAACCCGATGCTCCCACATTCAAAACAGTCGGGGCGGCCCCGTCCGGTTTCAAAAACCGATTTGAAAAACTAAAGAGAGCAAATGCTAATTGGAGAAGGCGTGCAGAAGAGATCTGGCTCCTCTCCCAGCATAGCCACATATTTGCCGTGATGGCAGAAAGCAGCCCGGGAGTTTGGGACGGAGGATATAAACCATTACAGTACAAATAAAACAAGTTTTTCCTTGACAAAGAACTGAGGGCAGCCATCTGTTTTAAGTGCCTGCCCTCCCTGTATTAAACAAGCCTTGAATTTCTGCCTCGGTCCAAAGCTGTGCTTTGTTTAAACCTAGCCATTGTGGTTTCCTAGGAACGGAAGTGAATATAGATGATTTTTTTGGGGGGGAAAAGCGAGGTGTGGCTGTTTGTTTTCGCCCGCTTCTTCTCCAAGCGGGATATAAGGAACCCGTTGGGTCTCTCTTTATGGAAGACACAGCCATCAGCCAGAGCTGGTTTAAACTAACCCTCCAAGAACTTTATTTGAATTAAAGAGTAGCAGGCACTTTACAAGAAACCGACATCCGCGCCGAGCCCAGCAATTCTTAAACTATGTACAAAAAAAAAAAAAGGCCCACTGGCTTAACAACGCCTTCCTTCCCTTTAACACCCCCAAACCGGGCCGACGTTTTGCTTCTCACACCGTAGCTACCATCCCTTCCCCACGCCACCTTCCCCGGACACCGCAAACGTGTGTTCACGTTTAAATTAAAAGTTTCACACACATACACACGCGCACACATTCAGCGGGCCAGAGCAGCAACGGCAGCCACAAATCGCAGGCTGTCTCCCCCTCCCGGCGGCAAGTCCAGTCAGTCGGAAAACGAGGACATCCGCTTCTTCCGGTGCCTCCAGGGGAAAGAGAAGAGAGTGCTTCCTTCTCCCGGTTGCGTTTCGGTGGGAGGCTGCCGGTCCCCAGAGGAGTAACCAAAATGTGGAGGCACTTCCCGGCTCCCAAAGTCGTTCTTGGCGTCCCGGGTCCCCGGCTTTTTAGACCGTCTTCCGCGCGGTGAGAACCCTGACTATTGAGCCGAGTCCTCCTATCGCCAGGGCCTGAGAGGGCGAGAGAAAAGGGGAAATTAACAGCTGCGGCACGTTGGCCTGACTCCCCCGCCTATAATCCCTCCAGCTTTTAGACTTCACACGTGCTTTTAGACTTCCTGTGCAGCTGCCTTTGGCTAGGACGTCCACTGAGGGAGCGATAACGCGGTTATTTAAGGACTGCACGTGTTGCCCCTTGCACTGTCAAGCAGCTCTATAGGCGTTTTTACGCGTTAAAGGGGTGCAGTGAAGACAAGATTATAGCTGCCTCTGCAAAGATAAGCCAGGGGAAGAAGGGCCTGGCTGTCTGCCATTCTGTCTCTTTTCGTGGCTAGCCGCGGAAGAAGGAAAGTTAAAAATATATATATGCCGTTGAAACCCCTAAGGGCAGGTGCTGTGTGAAACCACATTTCGAACACAGGATTTCCTGGCGGCACCTTCAGCCTGGCTGTCGGAGGCACCGGTTTGGCGTCAAGAAAACTTACCAGCAAAGGAGAACAGTTGTAGCTTGGGGTTGAGATGAGGGATGCTTGGCGCGCGCTCTGACCTTGGTGGTTCTCTTGCAGACGTCTCATGACCCAAACTAGGTGACGTCATCCGTGTCAGCAGTTAAACTTAGGTGGGTCATGAAAGCCACCAAGCTCAGGGAGCACCGAGGACCCCCTCAAAATTTACCAAGGCTGTTTTGGAGAGAAAACTTAACTGGTCTGGCCTCACCAGCAGGGCTGACACCACAGCCACCTGCTTAAAACTCCTGAGTCCTAGACAGGTCATTCGCCTCGGCTGGCTAAAGGGGATAGCGGGAGAGGCCTTGCCGAGCCAGGAGGGAGGAATTCAGCTCCACAGGTGGGAACTCCTGTACCTTTTCGTGCCACTGAAGTAGAATAGCGCTGCTGTTTTCCGTCGGCTTTTCAAACCCTTTGTAAATGTACTTCATCAACAAGTCGATGCCGCTGCTGTCCAAGGAATTGACCGCCTGCTCGATCTCGCTGCTCTTGAAGGACGTCAGGACTTTCAGCACCACTTCCTGGGCCTGCTCCTGAGGGGAAAGCCGAGGTTAAGTCAAGGCAATGGGATCGGAGACGAGAGAGAGAGAGAAAATAAAAAAATTAAACCTCCCCTTTACCTTTGCACCTGGGTTCTTGGTGTTCCCAGGAGAGTTCCGTAAAGCTGCGTGGAAGGCTCGGAGCAAGTCTCCCGTGCGAGGAATTAAGCTAAGGAGTTTGTGCTGTGTGGTGCAGTCATAACCCCCCCCCCCCCAACAATCTAACCTTCCCTACTTAAGGCCAGCAACTGATGAAGGATTCCCAGCAACGAGACTCAGCTACCAAGTTAACTTATTCGATTGGAAAGATGCTATTAACATCTCCAAGGAAATTCATTCAAGGCAGTTTGTTCCTTGCTCTAAAACAGTCTTGGGGATTTCAGATCCCAGGCTAATATATTCAAAAGGAAGCTTTACTATGAAACAGCTTACCTCCTGCACCTCTGCCCATCCCAGGTTCTTGGGAAGGACTCGATAGGTGGGCAAAAATGCCAAACCCAGCCCCGAACATCTGGCTGACTGCCACGAGCCGTGATAATAGCATCAAACAACATGTGGCTATCCACGGTCCTTAGTTTGGATTTGATGCAGCCTAAAGCACTGGCTGTATGATGAACTATAATAATCAACCTCACCAATCTGGGGAAAAGACCCACTCTGGTATCCAGGAGATATATACAATTTGTGACATCTGTTCCCCCTCCAGAGAACAAGGAAAGAAATAATTCCCATTTAGCCCAGCGATGACGCGGAACGAAAACCAAGAAGACCGTACGAGGAGAACCAAGCCATGGTTATTAAATTCAGAAAACACTGGATCTCAAAAGGGTTTTCGACATCCATCTCCCGCCTCCTGGGAGCAGCGAGGGGAAAATATTTTGCTCCGGGCCTGGATAACGCAGCTCGGTAACAAAATTGACCCATCGGCTGGGTTGCGCACAATCACCAACTGATCAAACAAGCTAAGCCGCAATCAAAGCCAAGCCAAGGTTAAATTCAACCAAGCAAAGGACACCAATGCAGCCTAAAGAATATTGTGGTGGTTTCCCCCCCCAAGGTATTTTAATTCTGCTCTGGGTAAACGTCAGTTCCGTGTCCTTTTTCGACCTGCTTGCGCTCTCATGGAAAGGGCAGACTCAGCAGAGGGTGGCTCTGCCAGTCGCCCACTCTCGCTGCTCCACATGCTAGAAATCTGTCGTGGCATGATCAGGAACAGGCCGAGCGACATTCACGGATGCCGGCTGGCGGAAACAAGCCCCCCCCCCACCTTTTCCCATCCCTAGCTCTTCCGATCCAACCAGACCGGTCCCCTTCCTGTCAAACCTGATGCCGCAGATGACAACTGCATGCATCATGGCCTTTACAGGTCTTGTCATTCCTGGTGCGCCGAGGACGCCCCGGGGTGGGGTTTTTCCTCATTCCTCAGCAAATCTGTCCTACAACATTATTTCTCCTCCGCAGGCTCGTCGGCTTCCCGTTCACAGCCCAAGCTACGCACCTTCCTTTGAAACTGTATTATTATTTTTTTTTGAAGGCTTCTCAGAAGCTCTCCTCTTCCAGAAAAAAAAGAAATTGGCAGATCTAAGTCACAAGACCCATCCTGTGCAGCTGCTGCACCTGGCAACCACAGGGAACAAATTCCCACACAGTGCTGGCATTGTCTCAACATGTCTTTGATGACTGCCCCCTCATTCTTTCGCCTTCAACAACATGCAATCGGAAAGCAATTCCCCCGTTAGATGCTCAGCCCAGGGAGGGAGACGTACGTGGCGGTGAAACGCACAGCTAGATCAAGGACAGGCCTCAACCTGCAGCCCCAGGAAAAGAAAAAGGCATTTTTTTTTTTAAAGATGCGCTGCAAAAGAGGACCGAAAGCAGTCCGACAAGCCAGAAGGGGAATTCTGATGCCAGACACTGCAGGCTAGGAATGAACTGTGGGCGTATAAATGCCGAAAGCATCCCCTCTGCATTGATCAAGGCCGGATAGAAATAGACACGACAGTTGCCAGAGCACCAGAAATCGCAAAGAACAGTTAAAAGAGATCTAAAACGAGGCTGCGGGTTACCTCAATCGCTAGCAACACAGAAAGCTTGAGGAGAAGGAAATTTAATGCAGGGGGAAGGTGAGGATGAGGTTAGCCAGGGAGTTGTGAAATTATTCCCCATCGGGTTCCTATATTTCCAAGCAGGAAGCAAAAAATCGCCTCCAGGCAACCCACCCAGATTAACAAAACCAAATTTGGCCAAACCCTGAACCAGCAGGAATCACGCATAAATGTCTAGTCGCTTGCCTGGTTGAACTGCATATCTTCAGTCTTTAGGGAGGAAAAGTGGAAAAGGACCGCCTAAAAAGGGTCGTCTGCGAAAGGACCCCCACCCAAATCCTAAAATCCACCCTGGAAAGGAGGAACAGACAAGGGAGCTGTATCTGCTCTTCAGCTACTCCCAGGCCCAGATGGATGAATGCCCCACAACATCCATGGAGATGCATTGGGCTTTTAAACTCCCGACAACGGGCACCAATGCCCAAGACATTGGATAAAGGATGAAGCCATTGAGGAAGGGGGAGACCACACAGGCTGGTGTGGGGGGGAGATACGACAAATGGATGGATAAGACAGACAAGACAGGAGGATGAGTTGCGTAGGAGAGATATGATAGGTAGGTAGGTAGATAGAAGACATATAAGATAGAATGAGTTGAGTAGGATAGAGAGATATGATAGATAGATAGATAGATAGATAGATAGATAGATAGATAGATAGATAGATAGATAGATAGATAGATAGATAGATGGATAGACGGATAGACGGATGGATGGATGGATGGGTACATAGGATAGATGGATACATAAAATGGAGACAGAAGACATGGGTACAAGGATGGAGATACAGAAATGACAGAGTGGGTGGCTAGAATGGATGGATGGATACACTGATTTATACATATATAGAGATGGATAAATGGTTGGGAAGGCATAGATACATAGATTAGATGATAGATAGATAGATAGATAGATAGATAGATAGATAGATAGATAGATAGATAGATAGATAGATAGATAGATAGATGATAGATAGATAGATAGACAGACTCAGAGATAGATAGATAGATAGATAGATAGATAGATAGATAGATAGATAGATAGATGGATGGAGGATAAATGACAGAATGGATATAGACAGAATACAAAGAAATAAAGATATTGGTAAAGATTACTAGATATAATAGAGGGTAGGCAGGCTGACAGATGAGATAGACAAAATGGATGGATAAAATGAATAGATATAGATGATAGATACAGAGGTGAGATAGATGGATAGACAGGTGACAGATATAGGACAGACAGGCAGACCGACAGATTAGATAGATAAAATGAATAGAGATAAGATAGATACATAGATAGATGAAAGATAGATGACAGGTGGATGGACAGACAGGGCGACCCTGGCCCAGCTGATCCTGGGGGGGGGGGCGATGAAAGGGAGGGGAGGAAAGGGAGATCGAGAGAGGAGCGATCAGGCGGAGGAGGAGATCGGGGCGGCGTATGGGTCTTGTAGTCCTCCAAGCCCTCCTCCTCCCCCTCCCCCCCAGACCCCCGAAAAGATATTGCCGCAGCGCCGCTTCCACCTCCGGGCCGGGCCCTCCTCCGTTGCCCTCCGCCGCGCCGGCCCCGCTCCCGGCCTCGGCGCCGTCGGGCTCCTCCACGAAGCGGTTCTCGTCGAACTGGTCGATGTCCAGGCGGCGGAAGCGCGAGGAGAGCGAGCTCCGCGCCATGGCCGCGCCGGATAGGCGGGCGGGCGGCAGAAGCTCCCTCGCACGGCGCCGCCGCCGCCGCCGACCCGCGGAAGCGGAAACCCCGCCCTCTCGCCCGCGGGGAGCAGGGGAGGAGCCGAGCGGCGGGCGGGGGCGCGGCTGCTGGGAACGGACGTTCGGCCAGGGGGAGGGGCCTTCGCAAGGGGCGTGGCCTTTCACTCTTCTTTCCCCCCTTTCTGTTCATTCATTCCTGTTGTTTATCTATCCATCCATCCATCCATCATTTGTCATCTATCTATCTATCTATCTATCTATCTATCTATCTCTATCTATCTCTATCTATCTATCTATCTATCTATCTATCTATCTCTCCATCTATCTCTATCTATCTATCTATCATCTATATCTATCTATCTATCTCTATCTATCTCTATCTATCTCTATCTATCTATCTATCTATCTCTATCTATCTATCTATCTATCTATCTATCTATCTCTCCATCTATCTCTATCTATCTATCTATCATCTATATCTATCTATCTATCTATCTATCTCTATCTATCTATCATCTATCTATCCGTCTATCTATCTACCTATCTACCTATCATTTATCTATCTATATCTGTATCTATCATCTATCTCTATCTTTATCTGTATCTATCTATATCTGTATATCTATCATCTATCTTTATCTGTATCTATATCTTTATCTATCATCTATCTTTATCTGTATCTATCTTTATCTGTATCTATATCTGTATCTATCATCTATCTTTATCTGTATCTATATCTGTATCTATCATCTATCTTTATCTGTATCTATCTATCTATTTATCTTCTATTTTTCATTATTTCTAATCTATAGCTATCTTTGAAAGTTGAGTGGACAGATAGACAGACAGACACATACTGCCCCCCCAATTGATCCTGGGATCTGTTTTTTGTTTTTTTTTTTGCCGCCCAGGAGCTTACAGTACTCTGACTCCCCCAACAGCACCCTTGTGAGGTAGGCTGGTATTTTCCCCACAACAAACCTGTGAGGTGGGCTGAGAGAGGGAGAGGGACTGGCCCAAAGTTACCCAGCTGGCTTTGTGCTTAAGGTGGGATTAGAACTCACAGTCCATCAATCAACAGGACTAGAACTCACCATCTCCTGGTGATTGGCACCAAGATACTCAAGGCAGGACTAGAAATCCCTGCGCCCTGATTTCTAGCCTGATGCCTTAACCACTGCACCGGATGGCCTCTCTGTAACTTTCCTCTTCTCCCTCCCCACCCTGGGAAACGGGAAGAGTTTTAGAAAAGGCAAATATAGGCTATTTCCACCAAAAAGGCAAATATAGGCTATTACCACCAAAAAGGCCCCATGCCCATTAAATCCATTAAGTCACCAGGGTACAATTGGCTCAAGAAGTGACCCTCAGCTTATGGGCAAAGAGTGAGGTTCGAAAGCCCCTCGTTTTCAGCCAATGGGGAGAGGTCTGAGGAAAGCAGGACATTGGCCTAAGAAGCCCAGGCTGAAGGGCCAATGGGATGACCCGGCTAATGAAAATCAGTGAGGGCCAAGTTGGTGCCACCAATCAGCAGAGAGCGGGTTTGGGGCGAGGAGGGTATAAAAGGAGGCTGCGAGCAAGGGAGCTGTCAGACCAGCAGCAGGAAGGTGAGGAGAGAGGAAGATGGATGGATGGAAGAAAGAAGGCAGGAGGGGCAGATAGAAGAAAAAAGGCACAGTTGGAAGATGAAGATGGAAAAAAAGAAGCAGCTTCTGAGGAAGACGAGATATAGAAGAAAAGAGCTGAAGCAGCATCACTCTAAGCCTTAGAGTCTCTAAGAGGTCACTCAAGTCTGGAGTCACTCACCAAGCCTTTTCAAAGGCAAAAAAAAAAAAGAGCTTGAACTAGTCTTTTAGTCCTCATGATGTTCCTGGGAATCCAAGGTTTTCCCTCTGGATGCTGAGGGTGTAGCAGAAGGGGAAGATAGAAGGCAGAAGGGGAAGATAGAAAGAAGGCAGAAGGAGAAGATAGAAGAAAGAAGGCAGAAGAAGATAGAAAGAAGGCAGAAGGAGATGATAGAAGAAAGAAGGCAGAAGGAGAAGATAGAAAGAAGGCAGAAGGAGAAGATAGAAGAAAGAAGGCAGAAGGGGAAGATGAAGATGGAAAAAAGAAGCAGCTTCTGAGGAAGATGACATATAGAAGAAAAGAGCTGAAGCCAGCATCACTCTAAGCCTTAGAGTCTAAGAGGTCACTCGAGTCTGGAGTCACTTACCAAGCCTTTTCAAAGGCAAAAAAAGAGCTCAGACTAGTCTTCTAGTCCTCGTGATGTTCCCGGGAATCCAAGTTTTTCCCTCTGGATGCTGAGGGTGCAGCAGAAGGGGAAGATAGAAGAAAGAAGGCAGAAGGGGAAGATAGAAAGAAGGCAGAAGGGGAAGATAGAAGGCAGAAGGCAGAAGGAGAAGATAGAAAAAAGAAGGCAGAAGAAGATAGAAAGAAGGCAGAAGGAGAAGATTGAAGGCAGGAGAAGATAGAAAGAAGGCAGAAGGAGAAGATAGAAAGAAGGCAGAAGGAGAAGATAGAAGAAGGCAGAAGGGGAAGATGAAGATGGAAAAAAGCAGCTTCTGAGGAAGATGACATATAGAAGAAAAGAGCTGAAGCCAGCATCACTCTAAGCCTTAGAGTCTAAGAGGTCACTTGAGTCTGGAGTCACTCACCAAGCCTTTTCAAAGGCAAAAAAAGAGCTCAGACTAGTCTTCTAGTCCTTATGATGTTCCTGGGAATCCAAGGTTTTCCCTCTGGATGCTGAGGGTGCAACAGAAGAATAAAAACAAAGCCAAGAAACTGGTGTGACTTTAACCTTTGTGAGTAGAATAAACATAAGCGATTAAGAAAGAAAACTTGGGCTGAAGGGAGATTTTGGTGGGAAATCTCCCTCTCAAAAAAAGAACCAGGTTGCTGAGGCAAGTGTAACTCTTAAGGTGGCTGTTATATTTTGTGTCCACTTTAAAAGGTATTTTAAATATGACTCTTTAAGTGTTTTGTTTTGGGCGTAAAGCCATTTTTTAATTTATATACGGGGGGAAAATGCTGTATTTCAGGGGTTTCTGAGGGAGAATCTTGTAATCGTGGATTTCAGAAGGCGGGTAGTAAAATTGCCTCAAACTTTTCTATTTCTGCCACAATAGGAGTGGTGATGAAATTTGGGTTATAAAGGGTTCCTATTTACATCAGCCTTATCTAAAAAAACACAGATTATAAATACATATAAATACACAATACATATCAATCTACATTAAAAAAGTCAAACCACTGTTCCCAAAATAAAATGGCAGACAAGCTCTGTCATTTGGCCTATGCTGAAGTTTTCCTGCCATTAGGCCAAGGATGTATTACAAACATAAAAACCTGACTGGACTGACGTGATATGTTGGGTATTCACAGATTTATTTTGTTAAAAAAATGGGCAGCCTTTCTGTTGCATTAAAGGCCTCAAGTTGAAAATATAGTTGGTTATAAAAATGACAATGCTCTTCCAAAATTATGAATACTGTTTTCAAAGAGTGAGATTTAAACGTGAGGGGTAATTTAGGTCCACATTTCAAATTAATATTTAAAAAAATATATAAAATGGTGCTTCTGACACATTTCCACTGCAGAAATACCACAGAATACCACAAAATAAATCAGCTGCCAATCATCTGCTTTCCCTCAGCAATGTTCCATTAATTTCTTTAGTATTATTTCTCCCAGATCATGGCATGATTTGTAAGGAAAGGGGCAAAATATTTAGTATTTAATAGACCAAAAATTTGGCATCATGGTCAAAGGTCAAAATTAGAGAATACTGCTCAAAATGAAGAATCATCAATTGAACAACATTAAGGTGTTTGGCACATAAACTGAGATCTAACTTTTGGAATGTTAATTGGTGCCTAATTTTTACTGTCCCTGTACAACTAGATGGTGGAGTCTGAAATGTAAAAGAAAAAAAAAAGATGCTGTTAAAGATAAAATAGGCATTATATCCGGTTCCTCATTGGTGAACACATTTTTACACAGGATCTTAGAATCTCTCTCCCAAAATAATTGCCAAGGGCAAAATATTATCTCTAGCGCAAAAAGGGGGAAAAAAAGTACTGGGATCAGTACTTTAGTTCCAAAAGCCCAAATGTATTTACAAAACATCCCTGAAAAAACTGTGACTGTGTTTGTGTTGTGTTGTGTTATAGTCAAGACTGGTACATGAAGGCACTCATTCACAACAACATAAAGTTTTATTTTCAAGTTTAACCTAGAGGCAGGGGTTCAAGATTATCACTTTTATTAAAAATACAAGGTATCTGAGAAAAATCAGAACAGTTATTTTAATGTACAAATTCAAATACCTGTAATGGGTAATTGGAATCCTAAAAATAAAAACAAAGCTGAAAGGAAAGGGGGGAAAAGGGGCAGTTTTCTAAACCACTTATTTATGATTTAAAATATCAACAAGGCCAGCCTACCTTTACTGCATAAGGATATGCACGGAAGTTGGACTTACAAAGTCCCAATATGCATATTAATTCAACTTTGCTGCTGAAATTCCTTAAAAACCTTATCCAGAACAAATAAAACAAAAAATTCCCAACGCCAACTCCTGAACGAAATAAAGGAGAATCAGACTAGCTCTGATGTGTCTTGCTCCGTTTTTATTTGATTTCATTTTGAAGGGAAGGGGTTTTCCCTAAAAACAAAAACAGGAAATCGAAAGCACTAAATATATATAAATATATATATATATATATATATGACAAGTTAAGTGCTTGTGGGACGTTTCAAAAGCGATCTTAAAGAGGAGGAGACGCACGGGAAGAAGGGCGGTTAAGAAACGCAACGCTACAGACCATATACACTTAGATAATTTAAAAATAGGGGGGGGAAAAAAGCATTTCAGCAGCAAAGTGCTCAATAGAATGTACGTCACGAAGGGAGGGAGGGCCGTGGGCGGCATTTTCAGAGGAAATACGGCGTGGTTGTTCTCGGAGGGATGACGCGTTCGGAATCTGGGACAGCTCGGAAAAGTTTCGGCTCTCTCGTGTTCACGTCTTTAAAGACCATGATGGAGGCGATATTCCCGCAGCGATAGCAGTAGTTTGGGGCTGACCAGACCGTTACCAGCTTCTCGTCAAACATGAATTTATAGCCTTCGTGGACCAGCTGATGGGCCCGGCAGATCAGTTTTAAGTTGTTGATGTGGACAAACTGTCAAAAGGCAAAGAGAAAAGGGAGACGATTTACGGCACTAACTCAAGCTAGGTTTTATATGCAGGCAGTCCCCGATTTACGCCCAAAGGTTCCTCTCTCCCGGTTGCTCAGATAATATTCTAAGTGCAGTAAACGAGAAAGCTGGCAAAATAATGACGTAGGGTGGATTTAGAGTTCACCTCATTGGTAACTTTAGCACCAAAAAGCCACCCGGCTCCGCGAGGGCTGATGGCCCAGGTGTCCACGTCTTCTGGGTCAGACCAGACGAGGTCGCAGAAAGCGCCTTTGTGAGGGATCTCTTGGTTGCGCTCGATGGTTCGGATCTGATCCAGTGTTTTGATGTCTGGAGAAAGACCTCCGTGCACGCAGAGGATCTGTTCATCTATCAACTGGAGGAAAATAGAAGGGGTTTTCACTCTCTCTCGAAAGCCAAAAGCTATCTGGGGTAGGAGGAGAGGAGAGCGCATCACTCACATTACCCACCCTTTTTTTTCCCCACAAACAGGACAACGAAGCACTTACCGCTGCTACGGTGAGCATGTCGAAGACTTTAGTGCAGTATCTCCAGGCGTTTGCGTTACCGTATTTTGTTTGGCACTCATCTGTTTGGGAGGAAGAGGAGAAGGAAGAGAAAATAAAGGACACCAGGTTCTATTATTTATTTTGATTCTTTAAAATTTATATCTAGCCTTTTTTTAAAATAAACAGTTCAAGGCGGTTAATGTATCTAATATTCCTTCCTCCTCTTATTTCCCCCCCACAAACATCTTATGAGGTGGGCTGGGCTGAGAGAGAGAGAGAGAGAGGGACAGGCCCAAAGTCACCCAGTTAGATTTCATGCCTAAGGCAGGACTAGAACTCTCCGTCTCCTGGTGATTGGCCCAAAGTCACCCAGCCAGTTTTCTTGCCTCAGACAGGGAATTCCAGAAACTATGAGGGTTATGCTTGCTTGCAATGAAATAAATGTTGCTATAATCCTTTTTAAAAAGCCAAATCCTACCAGTCAGGCTAAATCATGACAGTTTTATGCCGATTGTAACGGAAACAAAAAGACGGTTCCAGGAAAGTGTAGCAGCAGTAGGGTACTCACCATAAAATCCGTAGACCTGGGTTATCTGTCTGCTTTCATGATTCCCACGCAAGAGCGTGATCCGATCCGGCCACTTTGCTTTCAGGGCAAGAAGATAAGTAAATGTCTCTAGACTGTAATAGCCTCTGTCTACAAAATCACCCTGGAAATCAAAACAATGCTTTAATTGAAACAATGTGCTCAGGCTGCCATTTTATGAACAGATAATCAATGTTAGCGGGGTTTGTATGAAACTAAAGAGGCAGAACATTAGGCTGCAGTTGTCAATGTTCGTTTTTCAATTTTTTCTCAATCCTCCTAGGATATAGTACACATAATTATCCAAATACCTGACCCACAAAACTGGATTCTTAGAAAGCTTAGAGTCTAAGCAAGTGTGCTATCTTCTTTTTTAAACCTGTTACTACTAGCTAGCACTTCCTTTTTCAAACTATATGCACTCAGCAAAAGAACAGGAGTTGTATTTTCAGAGCAGAAAACAAAACCACCAGAGCAATCCTCTCCCCTTGATTATTATAATATATATATATATCACATTCCAATCTCTGTTTTCTCTACATTTGTTCATACCATAAATATGTAGTTTGTGTCAGGAACCTGACCTCCAGTTCGGAATAATTCACATAGATCATAAAACTGAAAAGAAAAAAAACACACACGTATTTCAACATAGACAAATTCAAAGTACCCATTGAAATTATTTTGAACTCTGACGGAATTGTAAATGTTCTATTTACAAATCCTAAAAACAATAATAATGTGCAGGCAGTTAATATTACCAATGACTGTCAAAATGTTAGGACAATCTGATACCTGTTGATCCAAGAGAAACATTACAATTCCCTCTTTTTCAGTAACGCCTGGCTTTGTTTAGGCACCCAAATTGGCACCACTGACAAACAAAAGTGAGGTACAAGTGAGATCTGAGGAAAATAAAAAACACAATCCAAAGTATAGTCTGGACCAGAATCCGGATTAGAATCCAGATTCCACATCAGACTAGAATCCAGAATCCAAACAAGAATGGGAATCCAGAGCCCAATCCAGAATTTATTTATTTTTGGGGAGGATGGACCAGAATGGAATCCAGAATCCAATACATAATGGAATCCAAAATCTATTGCAGATTGGAAATCCAGAATGGAACCCAGAACAGAAATCAGAATGGAATCCGAAATCCAAAAGCCATTGCAGAATGGAACCAAGAACCCAATCCGGAATGAATCCAGAATCCAATCCAGAATGTCAAAAAGGTAAGAGTCCATGGGAAATTCCACCTGTCCATGAATGTCACCACAGACGGTAACGGGGGTAGAAACCGGCTGCACGTTTGATTCTTCTAGGAGCAGGTCACAGACGTAGTCACACAGCCGCTAGAAAGACAGAAAAGTTCAGGTCAGGCCATGAGTCACACATGCCGCTAACATCACGTCAAATTCCCCCTTTACGTTCCAAAGTATATCATTTATTCCACTTTTCACATTTTTGAATGGCCCGTCTCCTCCGCCATCTCCCCCGCCTGTTGCCTCTTTTCCTGGGCATCCATTCCCTTTGTTAAGGTGTCTCTGAGCTTTACTGTTTTCTTGCAGGTATTTCCTTAGCCAAACTAGGTAACCTCACTTAAACAGGGAGTAAACCCCACAGTTAGTAGCAACGATGATGTGACCTAGTTGGGTCATTAAACGCCTGCAAGAAAACCACCAAGGACCCCTCATTTCCACCCTGGGCTGCAAATGTTCCCCTTTATTCGCAATGCCATGTCTCCATGGCTCAGGCAGTTTCAGATCAACGTGGAAAGGGGACCACGAGGAAATCCCAGGGACGGGGAGCAGCTCAACTGGGAAGGAGAAAATAAAAATAAAAAAGGCTCCCAGGCACCGCGTCGAGGGGGAGGAAGACAGGACATGATGGAGCCCATTCGAAGTGGGAGGGGGAACCGGGGTTAGGCGGCATGAAGCCCCCCCTTGGCATAGGGGGACCCGTCCTTATGCCCTCCCCTTCCCAGGGGCGCCCCTTCCCGGGTGGCAAGCAGCGCCCTCGAGGGGAGCCCCCCCCTCCGAGGCCCGTCCCGCCCCCCGCCTCACCTTGAGGTCGTTCTCGGGCAGGTACTTGCAGAGCCGCGCTATCTCGACGTACTTATCCAAGTCCAGCGGCGCCATTTTGGCAGAGCAGCTCCGGGGGGGGAGGGGAAGGGGGAGGGGAGGAAGGCAGAAAGAGGAGGAGGAGGAGGAAGAAGAGTGGGGCAGAGAGGACCGGACCGGAAGCTGCGGCTCGCACTTCCGGGTTGGGGCCTAACGGGCGTAGAGGCGGGAAACCCGGGCCGGGCTCCGCCGGGCGAGGCGAACGGGCTCGCGGAGGCAGCCGGTGCGAGCGACGCCGCCCTTTCCGCCCTCCCGTCTTCTCTCGGCCGCACCGGAAGTGAGAAAGCCAACTTGAATCGGACACCGTGCTTCTTTCTGGTCCGCTTCAAGGCCGCTTCCGGTTGTCGGCTTCCGGCTCCTCTCTCTCTTTCTCTCTCTCTCTCTCTGGCCCCGCCCCGCGGGAGTCCATTATGGCGTCCAAACGGCCGCCCTGCCGCGCGGCATGCTGGGATTTGGAGTCAGCGCTGGCTGGTTCCTTTAGCTGCTCTTTTCTCCAGAGAGGCTCTTGCAATGCCCAGGCGGGCACGCTGGCCGGGGATTAGGGGCGTTGGTGTCCAGCAAACGTGCATGGCCTTGGATTGGGGGAAAGTGCCGTTGTGCAGGAGAGTTTGAACAAGCCACAGTCCCAACCCACCATTTGCATACCTTTCGTGCAAACGAGAACCAGAATTGCAAATTTTTGCACGAATAAATTCGAGAAATAAGTAAATGCTAAAGGAAGGAATGCAGAGTCACGCCTCTCCTGTCTTTGGGGAGACGTCAAAGAGGTTGGGGGTGGTGCCAATCGCCTAGCAACGGCCCGGGAAGGGGGGGTTCTCCCTGCAAAACCACGCCTCTTTCCCCCCCTGCATTTGCTTCAATGGCGAAGGCGCTGCGGAAGCTGAAGCCACGGGAGAAACCACAGGCGGCGACCTGGTGAGGGGTTCCTTTGCACGTGTGCATGCTCTTGCTAGGATCAGTGCAAAAAGAGGGCGAGGGCGAGGGATGCTGGAGTGGGGCGAGGGAGGCAGCGCGTGGGAGGTCGCGGAAGCTCTCCCGTTTGCAACCTTGGATGGGTGCATGCAACCAGGCTTGGCACGTCTGCAGGCATTGATCTGCACGGGAAAAGAAGGACCTTGCAAAAGAACCGCGCCAAAAAAAAAAAAAAAAAAAAAGGATAGAGAGCGAGGCATCTCCTTCCTTTCACCTGGGCGCCCACTTCCTGGTTCAATTTTTAGGCAGGTCCTTGACTTTCAGTCACTTGTCTGGAATGGTGTAGGTAGGGTCTCCTGCTTGAGCAGGGGGTTGGACTACAAGACCTCCAAGGTCTCTTCCAGTTCTATTCTGATGGATTGATTGACACCAGGATCTGTCCGTGCAAAATTCCATGGTCCTTCCTCTTCTGGGTAATGCAGAATTCCTAACAAGCATTCCCACTGGGTTGGGAAAGAGGGTAGGTGGGTGGGTGGGTAAGATCCTCCTGGAAAATGGGGCTGATATTTTGTTTGTTTGGAAAAAAATCACCTGGATAAATATTTCTCCTGCTTCTCTCTGCCTGCCAGGTATTCCCTTGCCTTATGTGGGAAGAGTCCCTGTGCTCGTGTGGGCCAAAACTCTTTATATCTGCCTCCTTTGGACCCGGGCAGCAAAAATGGGAAAGTGGTTATCATCGCCGGAGCAAATCCGAGTGGAAGTTTCGCTGACTCCTATTTTATTGATCTTGGTAAGTTCGGCTGGGAGGGAGAAAGCGGGGGAAATGGACATTGCTGAATTGAATTTGTTAAAAATGACCCATGTTTCTAGTCCTTATGGATGCAAAGGCATGCAAATTGCTGAAAGAATTTGTCAGGGAGATTTCTACCAGGTGGCTGGGTGCTTTTTTGGGCACCGCTGTGCCTGAAGAAATGTTTAGTGTAGATCAAGCTGTGTAAAGACAGAAATGGTAGGGCCTCTGAAAGGTTTTGATTTCTCAAGCGTGAGAGATTTTGTTCCCAGCAGGAAATCTTAAAACATATTTAGGGGTTGATATCTGTCCTTCCGCCGTAGATGCTAACTGCTGGACAACGCCTGGTTGGGTAGGTCTGTTGCCACGATACGAACACGCTGCTTTTGTGCCTGCGAGCCGGCCCAACACACTCTGGGTATACGGAGGGGCCAGTGAAACTGGCAACAGAGACTGCGTACAAGTTTTGGATCTAGGTAAGCAGAGCCTCTGTTCGATCCATTGCTGTTATCTGATCCGAGCAAAATTGGATGCAAACCATTTAGTGACAGTTTGAAATTGCAATTATTTATGACCAATCCTTTTACTAACAACCAGCAGCATCCCTGCAGTTCCAATGGTTGTAATTTGGGTGGTGTGTATTTATGTGTTTATGCTGTTGCAGCATCCTGGGGATCCCCACTTGCGTCTTTCATGGCCAGCTTCCCACAAGCAAAGTTAACGAAGGGAGATTGGATTTGCTTAGCAACCACACATTCATTTAACAGCCATGCCAAGCCTTCTTTGTTTACTTCCTCTTTTACCGCTTTGGGTGTTGAGGGGACAGCCATGACAAATCAGTTTGTAAAATTGGGCATGTTTACGTGCTTAACAGCAGATGTTTCGGTGTCAATTGGGGTAATAAAGTTGAGGATTACTTGTACTAAATTCTTCTATGGAATCCCTTCACCGTTTTTCTTCTGGGTTTTTTTTTTGTGTCTTTTATTTACCTATCTTACTTGTAGTGCCAAGACCGGCTTTTCTCAAATTGGTGCACTCTTAATTATTTGGGACTTCCTCTCCTCCAATCCTTAACCACGATGGGCAGCGGAATCCAATGTTTCAAGATTTCTTTCCCAACTGACTTGGGGACAAGTCTGATCTGACCTCTTTGCAGAGTCATCTGGAATTTAGCAAGTCTGGTCTGGGTCCACTCACCGTCTTTTCTCTTGCTAGAAACTGGGTCGTGGCAGAAAACCAACGTGGCCGGCAATCCACCGAGCCCTCGCACGTATCATACCTCCACGGCAGCCGTTGGGGACCGGTTATATGTATTTGGAGGAGGGGATAAAGGGGTGGATCCTGTCCAAGACCAGCAACTTCACATACTTGACTCAGGTGAATGAACAAATTTAAGGCTGGGTTTTTTCCCCCCATGTGCCCTTAAGTTGCACGAACTAAAAGAGGTAGGAGAACTACAGATCCCAGCCTTCCGTGCAGTATTTGTTCTTTCGGCTGGGGCTGGTTCACCCATCATACGAAGCCCATACGAAGGGTATGTCAGAACAAACCTTAGTTCTGATTTGAGAAGCTAACCTAACTTTAGTTTCCCTTTTTAAAAAGCCACCTTGACGTGGTCACAGCCAGAGGTGCGTGGTCAGCCTCCTGCTCCCCGACATGGCCACGTGGTGGTAGCGGTTGAGAACCGACTGTTTATACATGGCGGCTTGGCTGGCGACACGTTTTATGACGACCTGTTCTCCATTGACATACGTAAGTACACCCTATGTAGTGTTAAAATTAGCAAGGGAGGTGCATTTGAGTCTCTTCGCTCTCAAGTGTTTTAAAATCTTTCCTAAAGAGTCTTCCCAAGCCACCTCCAGCATTTTTGTAATCACCAAAATGGCCACTATAAGGATGGATCCCAAATGAAGTTTTGGGCTGTCATTGTCCAGTTTTGATTTGCTTCCCGAAACTCTGGTTACTGTTGTTTTGAATTAAAAGGAATCTTTTAAAAGTTTTGGTGGAGAACAGTGAAAGAACTTGGGCAATTTCTTAAGAGAGCCTCATCTAGAACTTAAGAACCAAACCTAGAATGAAGAACTTTCCTGACAGTGAAAAAAAAATTAAGCAGCGAGACGGCTTGCCTTCAGAAATTGTAGGTACTCCATCAACACTGGAGGCTTTCGGGAAAAGACCGGACAGCCATTAGTCTGGAATAAATATAGTGTTTCCAGTTTGAGCAGGGGGCTGGACTAGAAGACCTCCAAGGTCCCTTCCAACTCTTATTATTCTGTTGGGCGTCAAAGAGTTGAGCTCAATTTCTGGTGATAGTACTTGGCTCCTGAGGGTAGATAAACCAGTTTGATTTCAAATCCCTCTTTAGCCAAGATGTTTCTGGATCTCCCTGCTCAGACTGATCTATGGTACTTAGTATGGTTCAAAAGATAAAAACGGGAAGAAGCAGGATATTTCTAATACAGAAATGCCACTTTTTTTAAAAAGGGGAGGTCATCTCGAATAAAGCAAGCCAGGGTTTGTTGTCTTTTCTCTGCAGGGGATCTTAAATGGGAGAAATTGTCCAGCTCAGGATCCGTTCCCAGAGGCCGAGCGGCACACTCAGCCGTTGCTTTCCAAGAGCATGTTTACATTTTTGGAGGGATGGACCCAACGGGGGAACTCAATACGATGTACAAGTATCACACAGGTATTCTTGGCGATTGCTTTAGTCCTCTGGCGTGATGGGTTTTTCAGGACTGGGTCGGCATCTACAGAGCCACGAGATGTCCCCTGGAGCAGTGGCCCTCAACCTTTTCCTTCACCACGGGACCCCTTTAAATGCCGTTTTGTGGCCACGGACCTTGAGACTTAACTCAAGATTGAAATCGTAACATTTCAAGCTTTCGTGGCCTCTCGGGGGCCTGTGGACCACAGGTTGAGAATCACTGCTCTCTAGAGAACAAGCAGGGCTGATAGAAGGGACTGTTGTGTATGTGGAACTAATGGTTAGTTCTAGTCCAGCTTTAGTCATAGAAGCCAGCTGGGAGACTTTGGGCCAGTCCCTCCCTCTCTCAACCCAACTCACAGCGGGGGAAAAAATAGGAGTATTCGGGATTTCCCCCACTTTATTTCCAAAAATAATAAAATAACCCCTTTGTTTTCTTTCTGAAAACATTAAAACCGCTGCAGAAAAAAGTCATTGGACGCAGCTGGAGTTCACCATTCCGCTACCTTCTGGCCGGCTGGACCACTCAATGTGTGTTATTCCTTGGGGAACCTCTGGAGAAGAGCTCCACAATCACAAAGAAACACCAGAAGCTGCACAAGGGGAGGAGGGTCCCAGGGAAGGCCGGCTGGTTCATCTCTGCTTGGTGTTTGGGGGCATGAACATTAAAGGGGATATCTATAATGACTGTATCGTAAGCATGCTAGAAGAATAAAGTTAGGCCATGCAAGTATTAAGACTCGTGGTCTGATGGGGGGGGGTGCCTGTGGCAGTAAGCCCCACATTTAACTATCCACCTTTGAAAAAACAAACCCACAAATGTTGGCAGTATTTGTAGTCTCAATCAGCAAACAGCATGGATGGCTCCAGAGAATAAATTGGTTCCAATTTAAAGAGGGTATTTGAAACTCAGGGTTGAACGATGGAGTTCCTTGGCTCACTCTTGGAGCTTGGTGGTTTTTCTTGCAGACATTTCATCACCCAACTAGGTAACATCATCAGTACTAGAAGGGTGTGGGGCTTATGGGGGGGAGAAGGACGACGACTGTGGGGTCCTTACTGCTCTCTGAGCTTGGTTATTTTCTTGCAGACGTTTTATTACCTAACTAGGCAACTGATGACGTTACCTACTTGGGTTAATGAAAAGTCTGCCAAGCAAACTCTTTGCAGACACAGGAACCAAACCCTTGAAATTCAGTGTAAATAACAAATTTATTGGCGCTTTGGAGGGTAGAAAAAATTCTCCGTGGAACACACACCACCCCACTTTTTTTTTTTTAAATAGAACAATTGTAAGGTGAATGCGTCAAGGAAGGACCCCCCCCTCCTGGCAAGTTAAACTTCCTCCCCTATCCCCCCCCCAATCCCACCCTCCAGGGACACTTATCAACTGCTAACGAAAAGCAGTAATCAGCCGCTTTGGGGCTATAAACATTTCCAAACTCCACGCGAGGTGAAGATTCTGATCACATCCCAGTTCTTGAGTTCAAATAGCTTAAAACCAAAGGAAAAGGAAAAAAATGTCCAAAAGTCCACTATTTACACAGCGTGGCCATTCCAGGGAAGGAAAAAAAACAACAAAAAAAAGCCGGGACAGGCCTATAACTCATCCTTCTCCGCCGTCTCTTCTTCCCCGCCGGGGGGAGGACCCGCCCCGCCGTACAACTTCCCCACGATGGGCTGCACCACTTCCTCCAGCTCTTTCTTCTGGGCTTTGAAGTCTTCGATGTCGGCCTCCTGGTGGCTCTCTAGCCACTCGATCTTCTCCTCCACGGCCTTCTCTATGGTCTCCTTCTCCTCCGACGACAGCTTGCCCCCCAGCTTTTCCTTGTCGCCGATTTGGTTCTTCAGCGAGTAGGCGTAGCTCTCCAGCTCGTTGCGGGCGTCGATGCGCTCCTTCAACCTCTTGTCCTCCTCGGCAAACTTCTCCGCGTCGTTGACCATCCTCTCGATCTCTTCGGGCGTCAAGCGGTTCTGGTCGTTGGTGATGGTGATCTTGTTCTTGTTGCCCGTGCCTTTGTCCTCCGCCGTCACCCGCAGGATGCCGTTCACGTCGATCTCAAAGGTGACCTCGATTTGAGGGACGCCCCGCGGGGCAGGCGGGATGCCGGTCAAGTCAAAAGTGCCAAGCAAGTGATTGTCCTTTGTGAGGGGGCGTTCTCCTGCAGGAAAGGGAAAAGAAACACGATGTTGAATGGCTATCCTCGGCTGCCGGGGTTTTAGATTAAAAAGATCTGTGATCTCTTATCGACTTCATATAACGAAATAAACAGAGCTGGAAGGGAACTTGAGGTCTTCTAGTCCTACTGAAGCAAAAGGGACAAGGGTATTTAACATGGTACATATTAAGTATGTACCATATACCCATGAAGTTAAAAGTGATGGATAAAATTAAGGCTGGTCATTTGCATTTAAGCTATGGTCCATTTTCAACAGGCAAGCCAAGTGCTGTATTTAAAAAAAACACACCGAGTATAATTTAGCATTTCTAACCAGACATGCTGAGAGTTGAGCAGGAGATCACGAGTTCTAGTCCTGCCTTAGGCATGAAAGCCAACTGGGTGACTTTGGGCCAGTCCCACCCTCTCAGCCGAGCCCTACCTCACAGGATTGTTGTCGGGAAAATCGGAGGAAGGAAGGAGTGTTGGAGATGTTTGCTGCCTTATTTATAAAAAAGAATAAAGGAGACAAATAAGTTTACCTTCGTAGACTTTGATGGTCACTGTTGGCTGGTTGTCAGAAGCGGTGGAGAAGATCTGGGACTTCTTGGTGGGGACCACGGTGTTCCTTGGGATGAGTTTGGTCATGACGCCCCCCACAGTTTCAATGCCCAAAGTTAGGGGACACACATCAAGTAGCACCAAGTCACCTGAAAGGAAGGAAGGAAAATTAAGGCACAGCCTGGGAAAAAGTCAGAAATTGAGCCTTCCTCACAACCTGGACTTGTCACTTCACAAATGAGCCTCTCTCTCTCGGCTTACCAGTATCCTGATCGCCAGAAAGGACGCCGGCTTGGACAGCAGCACCATAAGCCACGGCTTCGTCAGGGTTGATGCCTCTGGAAGGCTCTTTGCCGTTGAAGAACTCCTTGACAAGCTGCTGGATTTTAGGAATCCGGGTGGAGCCCCCAACAAGGACAATTTCGTCAATATCGGGTTTCTTCAGGTCTGCATCCTCTAGAACCTTCTGGACAGGCTTCATGGTGGAGCGGAAAAGATCCTGGAGGAAGGAGTTAAAAGGATCAGTCGCTTGTTTTTGACGCTTCAGAGGAGAACCAGAAGTACATCTAAACTTGGCAAGACTGGTGGGCTTCAACTGCCAGAATTTCACCAGTCTTAAAGCTGCCAAGGTTGGAGGACTCCTGTACTAAGGCATCTCATAGAAGCAACTCCCATCACATCACCATTTTGATTCAACGTTAAAAACTAGCATTGGTTCCTCCCTATTCTACTACCCCCCAACGTTCACTGGGTTAGCCCATCCCTTTGAAGGTCACCTACCATGTTCAGCTCTTCAAACTTGGCCCTGGTGAGGGTTTCCGAGAAGTCCTCGCCCTCAAAGAAAGATTCAATCTCGATCCTGGCCTGGTGCTGAGCGGAAAGCGCTCTCTTGGCCTTCTCCACTTCTCGCCGGAGTTTCTGGACCGCCCGGTTGTCTTTGCGGACGTCCTTGCCGGTCTTCTTCTTGTAGAGTTTGATGAAGTGCTCCATCACCCGCTGGTCGAAGTCTTCTCCTCCCAGGTGCGTGTCCCCGTTGGTGGCCACCACTTCGAAGACCCCGTTGTCGATGGTCAAGAGAGACACGTCAAAAGTCCCGCCGCCCAAGTCGAAGACGAGGATGTTCTTTTCTCCTTCGCGTTTATCCAAGCCGTAGGCGATAGCAGCTGCAGTGCTACAGGAAGGGGGAAAAAAACCACACCCCACGTTAGAACGGTACACCAAGGTGTAACCTTCGATAGCGGGAGGAAGAGCAGCGTTGAGGTGGTGGCATCCACTTACGGCTCGTTGATGATTCTCATGACGTTCAATCCAGCGATGGTGCCGGCGTCCTTGGTGGCCTGGCGCTGAGCATCGTTGAAGTACGCGGGCACAGTGACCACAGCGTGGGTGACCTAGTAATAAAGATGGGGGGGGGGTTAATTGAATGCTGAAGAAGTCTCTGATGTAATTCACTCATAAAAAACAGAGGGGCTTCCATTCTCCACCGAATTGTTCTTTCTAGAAAAAGCCTGGTCCAAGGAGCTACATCTCACCTTCTTCCCCAAGTAGGCTTCAGCGGTTTCTTTCATCTTGGTCAAAACCATGGCGGAGATTTCTTCCGGGGCAAAGGTTTTGGTCTGGCCTCCTCCAATATCCACCTGGATATATGGCTTGGTCTTTTTTTCGATAACCTGTTTAAGACGAGAAGGATCAAACACCATTACAATCCAGAAATCTTGCATCCGCACAACATAAAACCATTTTTTTTTCTGGGGAAAAGTGAATGTTGTACTCCAGAACGCAGGTAAACTGCCTTATTATTAATGACCAAACACTTTTCTAGTTTCTAACAGAATATTGGTAACAGAACTTCCCCCAAAAGGCTCCAAGAGTATTTCTCCAAGTGCAACAAGGTGAATGGACTTAAGGTTTAATATACAAAGTTATATGCTACTGCATTTCCAAGCTAATGTTAGACTGGATTCATATCTTCATTCAGCCATAAATGTAGGAGACCGGCCCCCCAAAAGTGGTTTGATGTGTGAACCAATCATTGTGAGCGATTAGAATGAACTCCAGCCTAGCTGGAAGGGAGAAAATCTTGCAAAAATGTCAGATTTTTTTACAAGATGCATCAGAACCAAGAGGGAAACTCTGCCTGACCTTGAAAGGCAGGTACTTGATATCCTGCTGCACCGAAGGGTCGTTCCACGTTCTCCCGATCAGACGCTTGGCATCAAAGACGGTATTCTCGGGGTTTGAAGTCAACTGATTCTTGGCTGCATCGCCAATGAGACGTTCCCCTTCCGGAGTGAAGGCCACGTAGGAGGGCGTGATCCGGTTGCCCTGATCGTTGGCAATAATCTCAACACGTCCGTTCTTGAAGACACCGACACTAGAGGGAAGAAAGAATTGTGGTCATTCCATCAGCGTATGCTTCCGTTTAAAAAAAGAAAAAAAGCATCAACAGCACAGCAGCCACGACTGACAGGAAGCTATCTTGATGCAGAAGAACATTCTTATTCATTTTCAATGAGAAATTTGCCCTGCATTACAACACTGGTTGTATATAAAATGAGAGCAAAATCCACTGAGGATGTTACCTAGTTGGATCATGCAACGTCTGCCAGAAGACACCCAAGATCAGAGAGCACCAAGGACCCCACAGTCTAACCCAGAGCTATGAATATTCTCTTCCATTGGCTGAGACAGCTATTTGCATGCCTCCAAGTTTTGCATAAGTCCACCAATTCGATATGCTAACCAATTTACCCTATTGTGCCAAATTTCCAGCCACGTTCTGCACCAAGATCTTCCAGGCACCCCCAATGAAACCCAATACCCATAGATTGGAGCAGCTCTCTTCTTTTACATACCAGGAGTAAGTGGTTCCCAAATCGATGCCAACCACCGTCCCCACCTCTTCCCTCTTATCGTCATCCTCGGCAGCAAAGACGCTGCCCACCAGCAGCAGACAGACAATGGCGTACTTCATGTTGCTTTTAGAGGTTTTTTTTTTGTTCTCTCACACACCAAACAAGCAATAAAACACTGCAGGAAGAAAAGATCCGAGAGAGAGAGCCATAAGACCAAATGGAGTTATATTCCCCCCCCCAAGAGGGTTTTGCATCATCACTCAATGGAAGCATCCGGGAAGTGACGTGGGGACAAGACTGAGTCTGGCCTACGGAAACTGAATCAATGAAAATAAAACCTGTAGAGTTTTTATTCCGGCTCGACTCTCCCACTCTGTTCTCATTGCAGAACAGACGATACAGATGAAAGCCTGAGAAAATCAAGGCAGTCTGCCCCCTTTTTTTAAAGAAATTGTCATCAGCTATTCTAGCACCATGCCTGCCAGCTCTACACACAGCCATTATATCAAACTACGCAAGCCTGAAAATGCCAGCTGGGCACATACTGGGGGGTGAAACCCCTGCCACCCCGGGCTCAAAATAAAAGGCAAATAAACCCATATAGCACCCCAGGGATGCTGCATCAGGTTAAGCAGGCCTGGCTTCAGGTCTTCCTGCATTCAGATTGACATTTCATCGTCCAGGCTTTGGCAGCTGACATGAGCTCCTTTTTAAAGACCCTGTAATAATGCATCAACCCCCCCCCCAAAAAAAAGACACAGACACCAAAAAGACGCCAGAATAGAAGAAACTAACCATATCCTCTTTTAAGGAGAATTGCAAAATATAAAGGCAAATACATAAATGATCTTTAGGGATTAAAAGGACTGAAAGAGGACCCCCATATACATAAAAGGGCTGAAAGAGGACCCCCATATACATAAAAGGGCTGAAAGAGGACCCCTATATACATAAAAGGGCTGAAAGAGGACCCCCATATACATAAAGGCTGAAAGAGGACCCCCATATACATAAAAGGGCTGAAAGAGGACCCCTATATACATAAAAGGGCTGAAAGAGGACCCCTATATACATAAAAGGGCTGAAAGAGGACCCCCATATACATAAAAGGGCTGAAAGAGGACCCCCATATACATAAAAGTCAAAATGAAATGCTGCAATAGGCAAAATAAAATAGAGGCCAATGTCCAGTTGTTGCTTTTTTTATAAAATCAGGCATCAAATAGGCTAGATCCAAGAATTTATTGAAATATTGGAATAAAATGAAGCCCCCCCACCTCCAAGCAGCCCCCCTTCCCTTGCTGATCCCCCCCCCATCCCAATCCCATGATCATGCAGGCTGTGGATGATGCGATCTGCAGTCTCGGGACCCTCCTGGGTGGAACTAAAGGCGGGGGAGCCCCCATAGGAGCCCCCCCATTCTCCCACCGCCCCCATTTGGGGTTTTGGGGGTCCCTGCAGGGAGATCGAGGCAGGGAAGGGCCGTCCAGAGGATTCCCCCCGAGACAGCACGTGGTCTGGGCTCATGACAACCCCCGCCAGGGCTCACCGATCTCGCCGCGCAGGGCTGCCCGCCGCCGCTTCTCGCCTCTCGCCGCCTTCCAAAAGCCGCGCTGCCCCGATCCGAGTACTCAGGCCCCGGCGCCCATCCGCGCTTATATAGCCTCCCGCAGCCTCGCGTGGAGCTCCTCCATTGGTGCGTTTCCCCGCGGTGGAGCTTCCCCATTGGCGGCCGGCTAGCAAGCTGGCCGGGCCCGATTGGCCCGCTCCGAGCGTGACGCGCGTACCCCATCCCACTCGCCTCCCCCTCCCTTCTTGGGGTTTTTTTTTTTTTTTTTTTTTAGCTTGCCGCCGCCGCCGCGCGCTTCATTGGGCCGTCCTACCGGTGTCGCGGACCAATGAGAGGCCGCGCCGTAGGCCAGGCGGAGAGCGCCGATTGGCCCGGAGGGGGACGTCGTGCAACGTGGGGACGGGAGGTTAATACGCGACGAGGCAGGGTCTTTCTGGAGGTATCCATGGTTACGAGGCCTAGCGGGCCTCTGCAGGCGTTGGCAGGGTGGTCAAAGGGGGATGATATTGAAAGGAAGCCCTTGGCCGGGTCGGGAAAAGGAGAAGGAAAAAAAGAGCAATTAGGGTGGAAGAAGGAGCTGGGTGACCCCTTTGCATGGATAGCTTCTTCCCCAGGAGCAGTTTCCATGAAAGGGAGCACTACATTAACCCTTTTCCACAGCCAGCAAGCTGCCTGGGGGTCATGGGCATTTGAATCCCACAAGGAGCCTCAGCTTGGCTCTCCAGTAGTTCAGAGATGCTTCATGCCCATTTTCTCCCTTGCAGGACCACATACGTGGAGCGTGAGGGATGATCATCATATATGTGTGCTTTTTAACATGTGCATTGACCCTGTATAATCTTTATATTTGCACAAGGCATTATTATCCTGTATTGCTCATTTATGGGACATGGATTTATTACTCAAATAGATTTAGTATTCCACTGGCTCTTTACTTAATATTAATAACTACGGTATTATGTACTTGTTATTAACCATTACGTATTTAATAACATTTCTTCCACGGGTGCAAATTGACCCACAGAGGTTGTCCTCTGCCTCGTTTTTATTCTCGCAACAGCCCTGCAAAGTAGACGCCATGGTCACGTGATCAAAATTTCTGCCGCTTGGCAACTGGCATGTACTTGTGCCGGTTGCAGCGTCCCGGAATCACGTGATCCCCTTTTGTGACCTTCTGACAAGCAAAGTCAATGGGGAAGCCAGATTCACTTAACAACCCTGTTACTAGCTTGACAACTGCAGTGACTCACTTAACAACAGTGGCAAGCAAGGTCGCAAAAAGGGGCAAAACTCACTTAACAACTGTCTCACTTAGCAACAGAAATTTTGGGCTCAATTGTAGTCCTAAGTCGAGGACTATCTGTAGTTGGGGTTGTGAGTCATATTGTGAGTCACGTTGTTTCTTTGCATTGCACCACATCCTGCCCTACAATTTCTTCCAGATTGAGGCATCATTCTCCATATACTGAGCAGAACACTCTCTTGATTTGCGTAACTGCCCTCAGGGAGGCATCAGACAATGTGTCTAACAAGGCTACTAACTTATAAAATAAAACAAAATGTATCCTGTGAACACAGTTTGTGTTCATTAAATGATCTGTTTTTTTTATAAATCTTCCTAACCACTGGATACTGTTAAATAAATTGGAAATGATACATTATTATGACTTCAGTGGCACAGTCTAGATAACCTCCAAGGATTCTTTCCTGTCAATCTTTATAGGTTTCTAGATATGTCACACTAAGCCATGATTTATTAAAGAAACTACGGTTGGTAGCATCCCATGTGTGTTTGGCCCGAAGCAACCCAACCACAGTATAATTTAGCAAAATGAATGAACCAGATCGTGGATTCGCCCATCATATTAAACTATGGCTTTTTAAACTTAGCTGGTCACATTCACCTACTAACACCTTAATTTAGTATAACTAGTATAATTGTATTTGGACAATATACCCAACATAGTCTAATAAATCCCACTAAATCTTAGTATTATTTATAAAAGAGTCACATGCTACAGCTGCTATTCACCATCCAGCTACAATTGTGCACACTAAAAGTTACAAAAACATGTACAGGTAGCCCTCGACTTAGCAGTTCATTTAGTGACCATTTGAAGTTACAACGACACTGAAAAAAAGGGACTTAAGACCATTTTTCACATTTAACAACCATTGCAGCATCACCGTGGTTACAATTCAGACAGTTCAGATCAGATCAAAAGAAATATGAAGAGCCATGTTACACACGGTTGGCATGCACATCCCTTTTTAAGGAAGCCTACACTTCTTTGAAGTTGGAATTATTATTTTTTGTTTCTTCTTATCATCTATTTACAGTATTCATAATTTGCTACTTTTTTATTTGTCAGAAGCAGCTACAAATTATAGACATATATCAAACGATATGGCTATAATTTGCTACTATAAGCAAACAAGCCTTTACCATACTCTCTTCCTTCAGTTCTATACTCTGCATTTGACTGTAGAGGGTGCAGTGATACCATTTTTAGCCTGGATTTCTCAAACTATGTCTTTCTTGAGTGATAGTCATTTATTTGCATATATGATAGAATACTATATATTATTAGACTTGGCCAGCATCTCGCAAGTACTGTAGGCAGGGCATCTAAGCTGGGGAATATTTCTCTTTTAAGGGCCAACAGTTGTGACCCCGTGCTTTCCTTTGCCCTCCTCGTCCATATTTCCTTTGGTGATATCTCTTTTAGATTATAAGCCAGCGGCTCATTTCTTTGAATCCATTTTTTTTTTAAAAAAAAAGTGATCCAAAGGTGCATGTTTTAACCCAACAGCTGGCTGAATGCGAGCTTGTTCAATTGCATCACGACCTAATATTTCATTTTGGCATGGGGCACCAAGCCAACAGTCTTTGGAATGTACGGGAAATTCTGTTCGCTTGTAAACAGAACGGTTTCTCCTTTGCTAGCTGAAATGCCAATTGCCATTCAAGGTGTTACGCTCAAAGGAGTCCAAAAATAGACATGAGCCGGGCAGAAAACATTCATGAGCTGGCTCTCAAGAAACCACAATCGACAGAAAGCAGTTTGAGAGAGAGAATTTTTTTTTTAAAAAAAAACAATGTATAACTGATATAAAACTATATATAAGGGAAGGCCTATGTAAAACAATATCTTTTGCACAGGGGGCGACATTTTTCTTTCTGCATCTTTATTTCTAACATGGAGAAAAAACATTCACACCCAGAGATAGTACCAATCTTAATTATATTGCATCAATTATATTTCATTGCCTCAATTATATTTCATTGGCAAGCATCACGAGATCAACCCTACAGGCCACAGGAGTAAATATTAGAGATTGGATTTTTTCCAGGTTCCTGCCAAAGTTCACCTCACCACACCCCCAAACAAAAATCGGGTATAATTTATACTCATCCTTAGTTTCTGTTCACTGTCAACCTACCCATTCCTTAAGGAAGATCTTTACTGGAGGGAGGGGGGGGTATATAGTTGGATTAGTTGCCCTGGATCCCACCAACAGTTTTTCTCTGCACAGAATATTTGAAATGCTTAGATACAATAGATACCGGTGCTTTTCATTTGAGGCAACGAATCAAATCAGTTTAAAGCATATTTTTGCATTGTTCCATGAATTTCAATTTATTAGGTCCTCAGCTTTAGAATTAGAACAACAAGAGTTGTAAGGCTAAACCTGATGAATTACATACCGAGAGCCACATTCACACAGGACGTGAACAAATACGTCCAGACTTGTTCCACACACTGTTTACCAACATGAAATTAAAAAAAGAAAAACCAGAATCATCTACCTCCTTGCCCTGGAGGAGATATTGAAATTTTAAATGTCAAAACTCTGCTGGATTCCAGCATCCATTTTACTAACCACCCTCTGAGGGCCACAAGGTTGAAAAGAGCTTTCAAACTTAACACTGGGAGTTGCCTTTTTGGCAAACGTACACCTTCTCTTTGAAGTTTTAAGGCGTGCTTTCCCATCCTTTGCAGATTAAATCTCCGTTCTGCCTCCCTGTTATTTTTCGGATCTGATCACAGAAGTCTAAGTCTCTATTATAGCAAATGTCTTATTTCATTTCTGGGGACTATATGAATCTCTGTCTGTCTGTCTGTCTGTCTGTCTGTCTGTCTGTCTGTCCATCCATCTATCCACTTATAGTATCTATTCATTTATTTTGTCCCCTATCTATCTATCTATCTATCTATCTATCTATCTATCTATCTATCTATCTATCTATCTATCTATCTTTCCAAAAACAAACTGTGAACACCAGGAGTATATCAAACTATACAAAGTTTAATAACATAAAACATAAAACAAAACTACACCAAGCTTTCGTCGGACTCCTTCCAACTTCGTCAGGGTTACGTGCCAGTCTATCTATCTATCTATCTATCTATCTATCTATCTATCTATCTATCTATCTATCTATCTATCTATCTATCTATCTATCTATCTATCTATCTATCCACTTACAGTATCTATTCATTCATTTTGTCATCTATCTATCTATCTATCTATCTATCTATCTATCTATCTATCTATCTATCTATCTATCTATCTATCTATCTATCTATCTATCTATCTATCTATCTAATCACTATCCTATCTATCTATCTATCTATCTATCTATCTATCTATCTATCTATCTATCTATCTATCTATCTATCTATCTATCTATCTATCTATCTATCTATCTA